GAATTGGAAAATTGGGTCTCAATCTCACCCGAGTAATATATAATGTGTACTATGTGAATGGATTACAACACAATCTACTGAGTATATCCTAGATGTGTGACAAAGGAAACAAAGTGATTTTTGCTACTAATGAATGCAGAGTGGTGAACTCAACCTCAGAGAACTGTTCTCCTTGGAAAAAGGCACAAGAATGTATACAAAACTAATATAATGAGCCCTCTAGAGAACTCGTTCACCTGTCTTAGTGCCATCACTGACAGTTCTCTTATTTGACACAAAATAATGGGACATATCAGCTACTCCACAACGAACAAGCTGATATCAAAGGACCTGGTCAGAGGACTACCTTAAAAGAAACTCAATGGTGAATAAATATGTGGTGCATGTGCTCAGGGTAAACATATAAAATCCTCCTTCAAACCAAAAGCAGTGGTAAGCACAACAAAACCTCTGGAACTGCTTCACATGGATTTGTGTGAACCAATGCATGTGCTAAGTAAAGGAGGAGAAAGGTATATATTCGTAATTGTAGACGATTATTCCAGATTTACATGGACTATATTTTTGGCAACAAAAGATGAGACATACGATATGTTTGAAATCTTTGTGAAACTAGTTCAAAAGAAATTCAGCAGTGAAATTGTCAGCATTAGATCAAATCATGGTTTAGAGTATGAAAACTCCAATTTCCTAAACTTCTGCGCCACAAATGGTGTTGATCACAACTTCTCTGTACCAAGGACTCCACAACAAAATGGTGTGGTGGAACACAAGAATAGAACATTAGAAAACATTGCTCAAACCATGCTGATATCAAGCAATCTACCAAATTTCTACTGGGTTGAGGTAGTAAATACCTTTTGTTACCTTATTAACAGATGCATGATCAGGTCAATATTGAATAAAACTCCTTATGAATTGTTGAAAGGAAGAAAGCCGCATTTGGCACATCTTCGGTCGTTTGGGTGCACCTGCTATGTGCATAACAATGGAAAAGACACAATAGGCAAGTTTGATGCAAAAAGTGATGAAAGAGTATTCCTTGGATACTCAGTACAAAGCAAGGCCTACAAGGTTCTCAACAGAAAAGCGTAATCGAACACTTATGGATATGGTTAGGAGTATGATGAGTAATTACTCATTACTCAAATCATTGTGGATGTATGCTCTTAAAATCGTTGTATATTTATTAAACATGATTCATAGTAAGGTAGTTCCAAAGACCCCTTTTAAACTGTGGACCGGAAGGAAGCCTAGTTTAAGACACCTGCATGTTTGGGGTTGTCAAGCGGAAGCTAGAATATATAATCCACATGAAAAGAAACTAGATTCTCGAACGGTGCATGGTTACTTTATTGGTAGAGAAATCTAAAGGGTATAGGGTTTACTATCCAAATCATAGTTCGAGAATTGTTGAAACCGGTAATGCAAAATTCATTGAGAATGGTGAAGTTAGTGATAGTGTTGAACGACAAAGTGTAGAAATTAATGAGGTAATGGTAAATATTTCATTGCCCATTAATGTACATACTTCCACACCAATAATAAATGTTGTTCCTCTTGTTAAAGAACATTTTAACAATGTTTGAACAACATTTGGTTGAAACACTTCAAGATGGAACTAACTCACAAGTATCTGATGCAAATGAACCACAAACAGTGTCATTAAGAAAATCTCAAAGAGAAAGAAAATCTGCCATTTCAGATGATTATGTGATGTATTTGCAAGAGTCAGATTTTGACAATGAAATTAATAAAGATCCGGTTTCATTTTCACAGGCTATAGAAAGCATTGAGTCTGCTAAATGGATTGATGCCATGAATGAAGAGTTGAGATTCATGGAATACAACAAAGTCTGGGATCTTGTTCAATTACCAAAAAGTTCTAAAAGAATCAGGTGTAGATGAGTATTCAAGACCAAACGCGATTCAAATGTTAATATTGAACGATATAACGCCAAAATTGTTGCCAAGGGATACACTTAAAAAGAGACATTGATTATAAAGAGACATTTTCACCGGTCTCAAAGAAAGACTCATTAAGAATTGTTTTGGCTTTAATTTGGTAGATCATTATGATTTAGAGTTACATCAAATAGATGTGAAACTGTCTTTCTTAATGGAGACCTCGAGGAGGATGTTTATATGGACTAACCAGAGGGTTTCAAAATTAAAGGAAAAGATCAAATGGTGTGTAAGCTAAAGAAGTCAATTCACGACAATGGTATATAAGGTTTAATGATACCATAACATCTTTTGGATTTAAGGAGATCATCGTTAATTGGGGTATATACCTAAAGATCAGTGGGAGTAAGTTTATAATTTTAGTCATGTATGTTGATGACATTTTACTTGCTGCTAATGATTTAGGCATATTGTGTGGGACGAATGACTTTCTCTATGAACTTTGAAATGAAATATATGGGTGAGACATTCTATATGATAGGGATAGAAATATTTCGTGATAGATCACAAGAATTATTGGGGCTGTCTCAAAAAGGCTATATCGAAAGAGTTCTAGAAAGATTTAACATGAACAATTGTTCAGCAGGAATAGTTCCTATTCAAAAAGGGGACAAATTTAATCTCATGCAATGCCCAAAGAATGATGTAGAACAAAATAGAAATGAAATCAATTCCTTACTCTTCTATTGTTGGAAATTTGATGTATGTTCAACTTGCACAAGACCGAAAATTAATTTTGCGGTCAGAATGCTAGAAAGATAGCAAAGTAACCCTGGAATTGATCACTGGAAAGCTGCAAAGCAAGTTTGTGGCATATTCTAAAGCCACAATTCATGCATTATGGCTGCGAAACTTCATTTCAGGATTTGGAGTTGTCGACACCATTACCAAGCCGTTGGAAATTTTTTGTCATAATACTGCAACAGTATTCTTCTCCAAGAAAGATAAGTACTCCTAATGTGTCAAACATATGGAATTAAAGTACTTTACTGTCAAGGAAGAAGTTCAGAAACAAAGAGTGTCACTTGAGAATATTAATACTTATCTCATGATTGCAGATCTGTTAACAAAGTTAGCCTTACAACCAAAGATATTTGAAGAACATGTTCAAATAATGAGCCTTGATTGTACTTATGATTGATATATTTATGATGTTTTATACTCTGAGCTCAATTATGTGTTTCTGATATACATTAATGAATCTCTTGTTTCTCATAATGGTGTATACATTATTGTTTTGAGATATTACAAGATAAGTCTTTATTAGACATTATTGTGGTAGCTTATGAACCTAGTATGATAAGTTGCTAATGTAGTAGTATATGGTAGAAAGTATGTAGCTTTAAATTTATGTACGACCACCATAACTCGCATTAGTAGTTTGTTATATTACGGTATGTGTGATGGACATTATAGAAGATATTTATTGTATACGCACTAATGCTTATAAAATATTAATGTTATATGGTCACTGGGCCAAGTGGGAGAATGTAAGAATAATTTCTTACTTATGGCCCAAGTTTACTTGTGACCCAAGTAATATCATAAATAATATTTAATGAATAATAGATCTCGTCCGTACATTAGTTATTTGATGGACGTACCAAATTAAGTATTAACCTCTATAAATTGGTCCTCCCTCCACCCAATAGGGTTACCATATATTTTCTACAATAATTTCATCGCTGACGATTGTGGTAATGTACAACTAGGGCAAAGAGGTAGAAACTAATTTACGACTAACGCTTCTGCTATTCTCTGTGATGATGTCTTCCGCATCAGGTATGTACCCCTAACGATCTCTATGTAAGATTATAGTATTTAAGATCCTGATGTGTATTAAAGTATTTAATCTTACATTAAATCCTTCAATGATTGTATACGTAATTGGCATTAGTGCATTAGATTGTGTAACGACTAATATATTGTCCTAATTTTGAGCGATCAGTTTTCAACCCCGTGATACTTGTGTTTGTGTAATGTTGAGGTTTCAATCCAAGGTCCATGAGTCAAATTGGTTGAGTTGCTCAATCCAATCCATTTTAGGGTTGGTTATCCAATCATTTAAACGTGAATTATATATAAGTTTACCCGTATGGTCCATCATAAAATATAGATAATTATACTCTCCTAGAATAAATGTGAATTATATATAAGTTTACCCGTATAATCCATCATAAAATATGGATAATTATATTCTCCTTAGAATATGTAAGGATAAAATATAAGGACGTAGAAACTCTAAAAACTACACTTATTATTAGGGTATGTTTAGTTCGAAAAAAAATATCTTTTTAATTTTCCTATGTTTGTTTAACCTACGATTTTTTTTTGAAAATATTTTTCAAATAAACTTACTTTCCTCTAATTTTTAAAAAATAACTTCCATGCATAAAAGTAAGGGAAAATTTTTCAAAACTTCCCTTAATTAAAGAAAATATTTTCCAAAACTTTTCTTAAATTTCACCACCTGATCCAACTTCCAAACTCCGATCCGACCTGACACCGATTTGAAATACATATTTCGACTTCCTGACCTCGACTCAGAATCACTCACTTCCAGAAAAATAATTTCTAGAATAACATGAAAAACCAAACACAGATGAGGAAGGGCGAGGGGTTAAGAAAAAAATCATGTAAAACTTATTTCTTTACGTAATAAGAAATGATGAATAATATGAATATCCCTATTATACATTGGGTTTAAAATTTACATATTATTTCCATATCAAATATGGATCGGATCGACTATTATATCCATTGATTAATTTTCGACCATCCTATATTCCACTCTATCCATTTGTTTGCCACTCTTACACTCAGGCAATAGAGTATAAATAGGTAATAATTTAAACAAACTCTTCCATTTTTTATTTTGTAGAGAGCACATAACGGGCACAATATGTAACACCAGAGAGTACATCACAGACATGGCTTAGTATCAGCATAAAACATCTGAAGTAAATTCAAACACAACTTCGATCGATAATGCTTTTCGTTGAACTTTTTAAAGCTTTCACGGATATATATATATATATATATATATATAGGTTTTAGTGATGCTTCCTCTCGAAAAGGCCATCCGGACCTGCGGGAAGGACCAAAAATATTGTTAGTGAAAACTTACAAGATAACAAAAATACAAGATTACAATTGAAAGAAAAATGAAGAAAACAGAAATCTCTTTAAGGAGATTCAA